GTTTTTTAATTCAGGAGATTATAAAAAATCCTTCATTTTATGGGAAGACCCTCTTGATTCAAGAGAAAACTCTGTTTTTTTTTTAAATGGCTGCTTATTAATTAATTGTTAATCAATCTATAAGATAAATCAACTTCAGATTAATTCATTATCAATAACTTGCATCCTTAAGAAGTTAACTTAATTTTATCTACTCATATTCATGTAATTAAGCGTTTTAATGATTTGGCCAATTAATCGAAAAAATAATGAACAGATTAATCGATTATTAAAATAATCGTTTAGTTACACGTTGGTGACCGCCAATCGAACCTCAAACTTCCATCAYATTTGGGCTTCTTGAACGTGAAATTTGCTTTAAAATCCTGCAGTCAGTGTGATTCTGGCACTGAGAAATGTCAAGATAAGACATGATAAGTTCCTCTGAATACAACAGACTGATGTTCCAGATAAACTGGCTCAACAACATTGTCCAACATCTTGAGGGAAAAAGGCAACAGGTAACATTTAGGTTACACTTTGCTACCAACCCTTCAGCCTTTTCTCATGTAGAACTCTAAAGTCCCTGAAATCCATTAGTTCTGTCAACGCCAGACTAAGATGTTTTAAATAAATATCTGGTTTTGCTTTATCTTCTGTATTTAAATATAGTTTTCATACATTTTTTCCAAATGGATGGCAGCGGTCAGTGTGTGGTTAGTAAAACATGACTCATGCAGCAAGTCTCATTTAAGCAACGCTGACATAACGGTTTTTAAAAATCTGCAAGGAGCTGCAGACATGTTTATCATAACCCTAGGATACATACAACAGTTAATATGAAACATACGTTATTACTGTGGTAACATTACAGTGTTAAATATGAAAAAATATATAGATTTAATATTGACCTTTGCAAATTTAGCCATGATGCTTCATCTCCAGAAATTTTGCTAGAGTTTGAAACCATGTTTGCAGAGACGTTTAAAGAAAGTCTATAAAAAGAATAACAAATAAATAATTAATACCTTGCTTGGGTCCCTTCAGACTTGAAAACCCATTTAATAAGCATATTAAAATTGCAAGAGAGTGGTATAATCCAGTTCAATATAATGTAGTCTGTCAAATCTTTATAACCTAAATGTAAAACTGTACTCTACAAGTCAAACTTTTGCAGTTTTAATTTTATTTTTGTWATTGGATGAACCATCTGCAGAAACTGACATAAAGTTAAGAAACAGCTACATTGTTTTACCACTGCCACCCCCCACTTCCAAAATAATAAAAAAATAACACTTGGAGTGGAAAAAAATGTAAAAACAGAGAGGAATACATCCACAGTGAAGCTTAGGATTGATAGAGATGTTATGCAGAGGAAAAWTGACATGATTCATGCCAATAAGAGTAAATTCCTATTTGAAAAGAAAACTGACAGTTTTCTGAACGCTGCTCTGAGTTGGCCGTTTATGATGTGAACRGTCACTAAACACACACACCCAGCAGAACGGAGGAGAGTCATGGGATTTATTTAAGGAAATGATGTCAGCTTGAAAAGAAGCATAAAAATCTGCTTCAAAAGAGTCAACTATTCACAAAGTAAAACATGGTTAAGTCTAATGGTGCCCAAAAAAGATGCTTAAATTTTAACACAAAAATCAACATGTGGAACCCACATTCAATCCAATGAAAGCCTGAGAGTTTTTAATTAATCTTTTGACTGATATTTTTCTTCTTTTTTTTGTCTCGAGGTATGCTGAAACTCCAAAACACTCTTTATGTAAACAATATTGCCTGTTTGACAACTAATTAAAACTATAATCCGGTGACTTGACACTTTAAAGTGTTTAAGTTTAAAGAACAATGTAACAAGGAGCAGTACAGGCTTCACTCAAATAAACACAGAAAAGAAACAGGTCACGCATCTCTGGGAACAAGTTTTAGATGAAGAAGACACCAATAATATTTGCCTGAGGAGAAAATACAAAAGAACAATRGTAGAATTAGAACTAAGTGGAGTGACGTTGTATTAAAAGTATTGTATTAAAGTCCAAAAATATAGGAATAACATTTTATTAGTTTAATTTTTAGTTTTTTTTATTAACCAACGACTTCTAAGCACTTCATGTCCAGCCTGGACAGGTTGCAAATCCATTGCAGGGATGGAGTACTGGAGTAAACCCACACAGCTAGAGAAAACTCACTCATGCACAGAGAGAACATGCATACTCTAAGCCAGGGGTGCCCAAACATTTTCCCCGAGAGGGCCAAAATGAAAATCTATCCAGGGCAGTGGGCCAAATGCAGTAATATAATACATGAAATACAAATACTTTTTTAAGTCCTTTATTTTTAACGATTAAGCTGTGCAATGGCCCTCTTTTGTTTTAGTCTGTACACTTGGAGAAAGTCTGCCATACGCTCAAGTAGCAAAGGCTCATGGGATATTTCATAAATTGATAAAATATGAGTTTCTGTGGCCTTATAAAAGTGTGCTAATCTACATGTGGGGTTAAATCTGATCTAAATATTTCTTGTTGTCATTTCATGTTTCATGTTTAATCCTAATAAATCAAAGATAATGTCAGCACCATGACTGAAAACTACCTTCACTACAGCCCTTTTATATAGTCATTTG